AATTTAATAACAGTTTTTTGATGAAGGGCATTACAAAGGGGCTGGGGGAGTAGGCAGGGGGTGGGGCCAGGTGGGGAGGTGCACAGGGGAGCTGGGGGATGGGGTCAGGCAGGGGCCCTCTATGATCCCCTCCTCCAGCCCCCACCCCCCTGGCATGGAGCCCAGGTCCAGCTCCCTGTGGTGGTGAGCAGGGACTGCCCGAACCTCTGAATCAATTTGGAGGCTTCCGATTCAATTTGGATCTTTTAATGGGTCTCCTGATTCAATTCAGATTCAGGCCAAATTGAAATTGGCTACTGAAGCTTCACACAGGCCCAAAATACAGCACTTCAAATTTAATACCTCATTTACCAAGGGTTAATTTAGAAGTGCTGTACCCATTTTTAAAGTGCTGTAAAGCCGTGCGACTCTGTTGTCATGGCAATAAAATACTTAAATGACGAAAAAAGCAACTTCTGTACACACGCAATAACCTTCCTCTAGAGGCCTGACAAGACTGAACAATGCATGCTGGGATGTGCAGACAGATGTACAGGACAGATTTACATTAAAGACAATATTGCTAACTTCAAATGTTCACAAATAATTAGTCAGGCCCCACAGAAATGAGCGGCTTAAAAAAGTAAGTTTGGGTTTCTCTCAATCTTTCTTCTCATTTTTGAGCCTTTGTATTCACTCAGGCAATTTTCAATGTTATTCTCACTACAATGAGGGTTAGAAACAAACTTAAAAAAAATGAAAGCAGAGATTCTCTCCTAAACAAACACCTTCAAGCCCTAGCACTTTCGCAAAATCAACAAATATAACAAGCCTTGCAATAAAATGTATAAGTGGCAAGGCTACAGATACTAGGTGGAACTTAACCATGTTGCAGAACTTGTTGGACAACCTTTAGTCATCCCAATGAATGATACAGTTAAAATTCTTCAAAAAGATAAAGACCAGGATGTTGCATTCACCAACTGCAAAATCCTGTTGTTTTTATTTTTTTCCAGCTAAATTTCATTATCCAGTTCAGAAATAGGAAAAAAGTAACTATATCAGATAGTCCTTCTTTGTGACAATGAGAAAATCATTGTGGGTTCTGCGCTGTTAAATGGGATTAGAAAGTTCCCATCAGTAACAATTTTAACAACAGTCTGAGTTTCTACCACTACTTTACAAATCATTAGACTTTTTAGTACCTGATGATTGATGAGGATTTTAAGTACCTGATTATCTGCGTAAAGACCGTATCCTGGCAATGGAGAATCACCTATCCTCCCAGGATATTTGAAAGGAGCTCCAGAAGTAGATACACCTATTATTAAACAAAATTAATACAACAACATTATGAAAGTAGATCATGCTCCCCATTTACCATAAAAACAATGGGGAAAATGTTGAATCTGGTTTAGTTCTGCTTGTCATTTGAGTCGCTATGTTTTTTCTTACCCAAATTTTTCAAACTATTGAGAAAAATAGGAAATTGCTGGAACACAACATTGTCACTATTAGATAATGTTGGTATATTCCTAGATTTTTCAATCCAAATGTTAACCAAGTTGAAAAGTTACAGTGAGCTGAAGCTACCTCTAATATCAGAGCTGCTCATCATCCTTGTATATATGAACTAAGGCCTAGATCTTCAAAGTATTTAAGGCTGCTTATAGACATTAAAAAAGTGCTTTACCAGAAGAAGCAGTGCATTACTTAGACCTAGCTCTGCAGTTTCTGTATAGATTGGGTGCTTCAGTAGGGCTTTTTGGCATTTGTATCTAACGCTGATTTCATCAGCTATTAAAGCACCAAAAAAGCACCTGATCTATACAGATGTCAGGCAAGCCAGGTCCAACTAATATTAAGTCTCTTCCTGGGGTGCACTGGGCTAGGCACAGGAGTACGCCGAGTTTAAAGTAAAGCGGCATTTTACCTTTGCTTTTTTTTTTAAAATAAACATCTGCAAGCAGCCTAAATGTACTTAAGTCCTAAGTCCTGTTGCAATCAGAGGGAGGCAGACATCTAAATGCTTTGAGGATCTGGACCTAAACAACTATAGGTAGCAATGAGCTGCTGCTCAGAACTGCCACCTCCTGGCCACATTCCCCACTCACATCCAGTCCAACTGCTAGTCAGCACCAGCAGAAATGCTTCCTGTCTTACCCTTCACATCTAATTACCTATAGACAAGAAATAAGAACTTCACAAAAAAAGCCCACCCCAATTATTCAGTTAGCAGCAATCACATGAAATAAGAAAGGAACAAAGTTAAACAGTTGTATGATATATTTTGATTAATCTTACCATCAGTTAAATTTCCATGAATATCCAAGGCAATTAGACCTAATTAAAATATAAAAAGAACAATTTTACTTCTCAAGCAGGACCATAAATTGTTTCACAAAAGATTGGTCTGTTTTATTATGCAGATTAATTAGTCCCCAGAGAAACATGTTAGACATTTGAAGCATGTTCTTGAAGTAATAAAATATTAAAAGGACAACCAGAAAAGAAGAGATTTTTATACCAAGTTACAAGTGGCACCTAATACTGATGTAACTGAGAAATTACAAGAATGGCTTTTGCCATTTTTCCAGGTTTCTTTCTTTTTTTTACTTGATATATTCAACAATGCTTGGTGTCTAGTCCACGTAATTGTTTTCCCCCATGTATAACTGATTGTGCCCCGATCCTAAAAATGTCTGTTCATATGCGCAACTACTGTTGTAAGTAGGCCTACTTACATCAATTAAAAGTCATGTGGCTGTGTTTTTGTAGGTAAGACCTTTATTTGCCTCCTTACAGAGAAGCAGAAAGAAAAGGTCTTATAAAAACATTTTGATATAGGAAAAAAAAAAGTCAGAACGGCTTATTTAAAGAATGATCTACCTTAAACTGCATTTCAAAAAATGTGACTACTTTAGAGGAAACTACTCAAGAGGAAGACATGGGAAATATGAACAAACATTTGTTTGGTAAGAAAACACATTTTAGCCACCTGTCTGGAGTTGCACTGTAAATAACAAAAACATAAATGGTTAGCATTTTATTAAGAGGCCTAATAAAAATAATTCAGTGATTTTGCATAGATGACAGCCTATAAATTGCTTCATAAAGTCCGAACAATTATCAATGTAAAAAGGCCCATACATTTAAAACAAACTAGAGTAGTCTAAATACACAGTAGCGAGTACATCTCTGAAGAACTTTCCCCTGCTTCATGATAGGCATTAGTTCTGTCACTGACTTCAGCGGCATAAAAATCAAGCCCTAATATAATTATTATTTCCTTTCCTCGGTGATAAACACCACACTACCCATTTTTGTTTTCTGTCAGACACTAATAGTAACTCTGTTTTGCTAAAGTGGTTAATGAAAATATTGCAATATGACAAGGATTTCTTAGGGCGATATCTTTTATTGAACTAATTATGTAGTTGGGATACAGTTAGACAAAACAATTCAGAGGAAAGAATCCTTGACTTAGAGCAAGAATAAATGTAACATATGAACAAAGCACCCTGGCCCTGTGGTGCCCCTCCCTTCCACTCACAACCCACAGCCCCACTCCTCCCAGCCCTGCTGGTGCCCCTCACTCCCAACCTGCTGCCCCTTTCCCCACAAGCCCCAGCCCCACAGTGTATGGGACAGCAGGTGGTGTGGGGTGGGAAAGTATGGGGGGCAAGTGTCCCCCCAGATTTGTGCACTCACAGGGAGCACAGGGCTGCAGCCTTGCTGGATGAGCATGGGCAGGAGCTACTTCCACTGCCCAGCAAGCAGGATTCAGGGCAGGAGGGCAGAGCGGGGCAGTGAGACTCATTGCTGCCATTGCTACTAGAAATCCCACACCAGCCACGCGTCCAGCAGCATGGGGAGTAACAGAGAGAGGCAGGCCGCAGTACCCTCACCTTCTCCCTCCACCAGCCACCCGTGCGCCACACTGTAGCTCCACCCCACCACCATGGCCCAGCCGCTCCTCTCAGGCCATGGCTCCATCCTAGAGAGGAGGTGGGGTGGCAGGGAGTGTCGCCTGTGTGCCTTCTACCAAAGACTTACCTGTGGGGTGCTACAGGAGCTGCTCTACACACTGCCTGGCTGCCATGCACACATGCATGCACACATGGTGCCCCTTGCCTGATCACCCCCTTCCTATTCCCCACAACCCCAAGCAGCCCAATGCAGGCTGAAACACTGCCAGCCTGCAAGGAGAAACCTGTGGTTTCCCATGTTTTTCTCTTTTAAAGGAGAATCCATTTTTAAAGTTTGCTGATTCATTTTTTGTTAAGTTTGTTCACAACTCTTTCATATATTCTTGCAATCTACTTTTTGGGTTATGACCCATGGGTTGAGAAACGCTGAACTAGATGACTTTCTGAGGTTCTTTCCAACTCTATTTTCTATGATTCTATATAGGAGACAGTTATAGCTCAGTTAAAAATGTCACCCACAGTTAAGTCCCTACTTAAGGCTGTTTTTTTGTGTTGATTTAAGCATAATTCCATTTAAGGAATAAGCAGTACTAATACTGGCACTCTTCTACTGATGTAATTGTCTCCACTGGACAATTGGTTGTACCAGCTTAACTATATTGGTCTTTAATATAGTCAAATCAGTACAAAAAGTGTGTGTTGACAAGCCCAAGCTAACCTCCTATCAGTACGCTGAAGCATCTGATGCTGGCTACTATTGGATTTAGGATACTGAACTAGATGAACCATGGATCTAATGTGGCAGGGAAATTTAAACGTTACCAATTTCAAAAGGCGATTTGCCTGAGTAAGGACTGCTACAACAGATGCATTACTGCTCTGTTGTTATAGCCCTTATTAGGCATAAAGTAGTTGCCATGATTTATACTTAACAAAATGTTATATTAAGAACCTATGTTTACAAATAAATTATTAACAACTTTTTAATGAATTCTTCTAAATATTTGTGATAAACAGGTTTAGTAGGAATTGCACGCAGGTTAACTTAAACAAAACCATTAACATTTATGCATCTCAGACTAATGTATTCTATATAACTGAATTTTCATACTAATAAAAAGCATTTATAATTTTAAATAAATTAATTTATGGGCAGTCCTTGACTGAAGACGTTTCAAGTCGCAACCAACAGCACTTAAGACATTTATAAAGTGACACTTTGTTTCAACTTTGACATCTGTTTCGACTATACGATGATTGATCCAATGCCATGCCACGCCAGCGAGTAAGTTCACTGCGTCACCCATCTCCCTGGAGAACACCTGTCTAAACTTCCTTAGATACTTTCTTTAAGAAAGCAAACAAGACACTAGAAAAACCTGCAGCCAAGACTCCTGAGAAGATTCCAGCCAAGAACCCTTCAAAAAGTCCAGCAGTCAGCTCAAAGAAGTCCTTCCAAATCAATATGATTGCTATTTAGAATATAAATACATTAATGTAGCTATATTACACACCTATAATTGATTAAGTACAAAATTCTGGGTTATTTTTGGTGAAAATAGGGTATTGGGCCTTGGTTCAGGAACCAATCCCCCATTTATAACATCGTTCCTATGGGAAAATCAGTTCTGAGTTGCAACGTTTCGACTTAAGACGTGGGTTTCAGGAACCAATTGTGTTGTAAGTCTGAGGAGTGCCTGTAGTTGTTTTTTTGTTACTTTTTATATAGTAAACTGTCTAACTATTCAAGTAGGGTGGGAGTGTTGTTATAGTTGTGATAGTCCAGGAAATATATGAAAAACAATGTTTTTTGTTAATCTCTCTTATTGGGACAACTGTATAGTCAGAGAGATGTTAGACACGCTTTTGTGCATGAAGTGCCATTTTTCAGGTCTGGGAAAGAAGCAGGCACAGACTGTTCAAGGACAGGAAAGGAATAGAAGGAGAAGAACAATTTTTCCCCCTCCACATGCACAACTTTCATGAAAAAGCCGCAGTAGTATTACCGCCTTCTAGGTAATGTTAGTCTTTTACTACCTGTAGGTGGCTCTGTTTGAAATTATTAGAACTGGCACAGCACAGGTTTCTGTTATTTTCTCAATATTGTACTTCAAATACAAATCAACACTCACTTAACATTCAATGTTTCTCCATTTCATGTCACTAGCCAACATATCACATACTCAAGAATCTACATACTTATTCATCACAGGATCTAGGCTCTTCAAGTGTCACAGAGACATTTGTGTTTGATTAGTAAGGTCCAACATGCAACTGGTGAAAGGTTTAACATGTCTGTGGGCAATAATTAACACACATCCTTTACATAAAAATCCCTGTAAAATATTTATTGTATATTTCCTTTGAAATACAAGGGAAAGAATTCTAGGAACTGCTCAGCACTCTTTTCAGCATGAGAACATACGCCACGAGACCCTCAGGACATAAAAGCAATGGCGCATCCCTTTATTCTGGCTGTCATTTCCCCCTATAGTTCTCAACTTTGGCATGCTTTTGACTTCAACCAAACCATGGTATCTTTTAGATGCCAGCAAAAGGAACTCCACAAACAACATGTGCTAGTTTCCTCTTTGAGACTAAATGTATTATTTCATTTGTGCTTTGACAGTCTGAGCAGCAACAAACTTACTGCAGGTTTCAAAGCAGAAGCTTCTGCATTCAGAAGTAGCACGGAATTAGATTTAAAATATTTATTTAAATTTTACATAAAGCTATTGGCAGAAAGTCATTAACTGAAACAAAGAAAATGAATAGCTGGCTTTTAGGGATTCTGAACATCTGTTTTTTTTCCCAGCGAAAGGCTCAGTACCTCTGAAAAGCCAGGTCAAATGTCTAAAACAAACTAAATGTCAGATCATAAATATCTAAAGTAAGTTTAGGGCAAAATGCTATTTTACTTTATGTACAGTTTTTTGTGCAAGTAAGGCAGTTTTAGATTCTTTTTTCACCTTTTTATATGCTGTGCCTGCTAGAAGCAAAATGGAGGACAGCCTTCCCATATTCCCCATCTGAACTCTCAGGCCAGATCTGAATCATAAGGAGCCTTGTGAGTCAGATCAAGACCCAGAGGTAGTGGGACAGCAAGTGGCAGCACAAGGGTAACATAGCTGACACTCCCCTCACACAGCCACTGACAGATATCCCCAGAAAGCCTCTGTGGCTGAGAATTTGGTGACAGGCCTTGCTCCAACCTGCCCCACTTCTTAACTCCTAGTACCATTTGGAGCCCCACAATCCAGATAAAGCAATTTCTCCAGTGGAATCCCACCCACAGGCCGTATGTCCAATGTTTCTGTTTTAACCCAATAGCTTAGTGCTCAGGGCACTTGCCCATTGAGTGGCAGACCCAAGTTTTAGGTGAGGGGAGACCTAGAAGGGGTTTGAACCTACCTCTCCTGCTTCCCACTAAAGTGTTCTAACCACCAGGCCACAGGTTTGGCAATATCTGGGCCTTCTCCAGCCCTACTCTTGAGTCTGACCCACTGCACCTTGGATAAAATGGATAAGAAGCAGTGGGGGGATATCTACTCCATTGGGAGTAAGGGTCCAAGGTAGAACACAAGGCTCCCTCCCACCTAAGGTAGCATTCATCTTACTCAGCCACATACCCTCCGGCTTATTTTCTTCCTCCTGGCCTCATATATCTCCCTCTTGCTGCTCAGCATGCAGTCCCACTAAGCATATGCACACTTTTCACTCCCAGACCTGAACTGTAAATTGTGCAGAAAAAGCCAAAAACTGCAGTTGAATGGCTGTGTATTTAGGCATAGAGAGAGAAAAAGTATTTAGCTTTTAGTCTTCATTAGAAAATGAAGACGTATAAAACTGCAAGCCTTAAGTGAGATGTGAAAACACCAATGCACGGTCATACCACTGCATAGTCATTTCCTTCTGGGAAAGCTAGTATAATCTTCAAGAAATGAGGAACTAACAGCAGTAAGATTGTGTACTTCATTATTTTACTTCTCTCTCTTTAATGAGAGAGATGAGCTGAGCTTGTTGAGCCCTGGAAGAACCCTATGGAGCTCCACAAAGATAGAAGAACAAGACTAATTTCACTGAGCAAGACAAAGTGGAGGAAATAATGCAGAACTGTCCACCTGTAGAATAGTTTCACAGCAGAATCTTGCGCATGTCCATCAAGGAATTGGTAGGAGATTCAGAAATGCATCTGCCAGCAAAACCCGGCAGGATTTTCTCTCCAAGTTTTCCATATACTATTTGCAAGTCTGTCTATGTGATCTACTTTGACTCAACTTTGGCATGCTTTTGACTTCAACCAAACCATGGTATCTTTTAGATGCCAGCCTATATCTTCATTTCCTTGTTTCAATTACTGTAATTCTCAGCTTTCTCTTGTATGTGCAGAATGTCTTCCTTTTCACATGTGCTGAAGTATGGAATAACATAACATGATCTCAAATCCTTCATAAGCTATTTCACCCCAGCTGTCTTGTGCACTTGGAGCTGACACCTGGTGTAAGAAGGACATTCTTGCTCAGGAAGCCACACCTAGGGAGACTGCTAAGGCCCTTCTGCATTTGCAAGAGCAAGGACAGGATCTCTACTAAAATTTGTATGGACTATGAATTCACCTCTGTGAACTGCTTCGGAATTAGCAACACAGAGACCTGGTGGAATGGCTCTTATGACTAGAATGTCAACACTGAGGGTTACACTGTTTTGAAAGGACAGGGCCAGGAGAAAAGGTGGTGCTTTGTATGTCAAAAACATATACCTGCTCCCTGGTTCAGGAAGAAGACAGCAAAACAGAATTAATTTGGGTGAAGATGAAAGATGCAGCACTGATACAATAATGGAGATCTATTATAGGTCACCTAATCAGAAAGTGGAGGTAGATGAGGCATTCTTCAAGCATGTGACAAATCTATCCAAAAGCTATGGAATGGTACTGATGGGAGACTTCAATTTTACAGGCATCTGCTTGAAGAACAATGGAGCCAAACATAAAATGGGTGGGGGGAGGATAACTTTCTGTTCCAGACCGTAGAGGGTACAACTAGGGGATCAACTATCTTAAATCTTTGTCTTGACCGACAGGGAAGAACTTGTGGAGGATGTGAAGGTAATGGATAACTTGGGAGGAAGGGATCACAATATGAGAAAATTCCAGAACCTGAGACAGAGAAAGCACAAGATCATCAAAATCTGGATGATAGATTTTATCTGACTCAAGGAGTTAATAGGCATAGTGCCATGGGAAGACAGATTGATAGATAAAGGCACCCAGGAGGTCTGAGAGCTTCTAAACAGCACAGTATTGGAAGCCCAATGAGAAACTGTCCCAACACAAGAATGGCAAGAGACCAATGTGGCTGCGCAAGGAGCTTCTAAGATGCCTCAAATGCAAAGCATATTTAGCTGAAAGGTCTCGCCCCTCCATTCAGGGTCAGAAATTTTACCCCATAGTCAAATTGGCATGGACCTTTGGGATTTTAGACTTCCTCTGTAGTGGTGGGTGTGTGGCTCTCTACCCAGGATCTTCTGAGCAGGACACTGAAACAGGACACTGACTGCCATGGCTCCCCTGTTTTAACTGTGGCAGATTATGGTGTTATGTCTGTGCTGTGTCAGGGCTGATGGCAGTCTTATGCATAGTTTAGCTTATGGATTTTATAAGATGGTTTGGATAGGAATGATCCTGCCTCAGGCAGAGGATTGATCTTGATTACCTCTGAAGGTCCCTTCCAGCCCTACTTCTCTATGGGCGCCTATACACGTGCAGGGAGGCTGCTATGACGCACTGTAATTACAGCATGTTGGAGCAGACTGGATTAAGAGACTGCTGGAGTGTACTGTGCTCCATTAGACCTCAGCATCATGTGCATCAGCATCCCTGTAGAGAAAAATGGTGGCAGGGGCACTTTAAAGCTCATTCAAAAACGTTTGCTACACATAACACCCTGGGCACTTTAATTAGAGTGGCTCTCAGAGCCGTTCTAATTTAAGTGTCCTGTCCCCGTCCCCCCCACTCCCAGAGCACATTTATAATGCCCACATGATTCTATAATCTGGTCTCCATGAACAGCTAATAAGTATATAACTACCTATCCACCACAATATGTTTGCTACTGATGATAAAAACTTTTAGTTAACATACAATAACCTCTAAGATTACATACAGATGTAGAGAAAGAGAAGCCAGTTTAACAGTGACTTCATTTATACAGGGTTTACTTTAATACAGTATCTTTATACTATTTAAACACAGATTAATTAAAAAACTGCATTATGATTAGTTACCTAAGGTATTGTGTCCTTTGGGGCTTTTTTTCTTCTTTAAATATTCCTATAGGAGAAATGTAAAATAAAATAAAAGTTAGTTTGACAAGGCAAGGAACATGTACATAAATATTGATAAACACTGGATTTTAAAATCATTATATAAAAAGATTGAAGCAGTGTACTAGAAGAAATAGAGCTATTAAAACTGTGACCTTTACTGAGCACTGAGCATTAATGGACTTCCAAAATCAAAACCCCCTTTTTGATGCGAGGAGAGAATGGACTTCAGCAGTCAAAACTCCATCTAGCATCAATGAATCAAATTTAAATAATAATCATTGTACATTGTGGGTGAACTGCGAAAAATTCCACTTGTATCTGAAAATGTTTGCTTCAAATAGTATTCAGAGTCAAATGATCTGGGTTCTATTCCTGGCTGCACCACGAACTTCCTCTAAAGTCACTTAAGACTACATTTCCAATAGTGCTATCTAATTTGGAGGAACCTAATTTTCAGCTGTCAAACTTTAGACATCTGGTGTGTGATTTTCAGAAGTTAGGTCCCAGTGACTTCAGTTAGGGTTGTGGTTGTTTGGCACCTCTTCAAATTGGATGTTAGGAAGCCTGATTCTCTACTGCTGTGAAGTGTGTATTTTACACCTACGTGAAGTGGGATTAAATTATACTAATGATGTGAATAAAGAATTCTAATTTGGTAGCATTTTGTACCTGTTTTGCATATGTCTCAGTAAGTACAATATAATCAGTTCAAGTCCTGAGGGTGTAAAGGCCTTTAATGAACCCTGTGCAGGTGGATCACTGTGTTCATGCCAAGTTAAGAGTAGGATTTAAGGGCAAAACAAAGCATTCTAAGAGGCCACTGTTGAAAAAAGATAGGCTTTAGCTTTTTTGTGCCTTACTTTCATCACCTATAAACAGGTAATAATATTTATCTATCATATTACAGTGGCTGGAAAGATATTTTAGAGGGTGGTTGCTTTAACAAGTGGGTGGCCACTTGCACCCCAGCCCACACCACCAGTCGGACACAGTCACCGCTCCTCCCTCCCTCTCTATCCCCATGCCAACACTGCTGCTTCACCCCACTGCCTAGCTGCCACTTGGACAAAGCCCCCTGCTGCTAAAGTGCCCTGTGACCAAAACACTGCAGAAGCTCCCTAGATCCAAGGCCAGATAAAATGGCTCTGCAGGCCAGATCCAGCCCATGGGCCATAGGTTGCCAATCCCTGAATATGGTATTCAGCATTCATTACTGTTTGTATTGTCCTAAGTTGTGTAAAGTCTGCAACTTTCATTACTGCTTGTAGGTGTTGTAAGATCCTGTGACGTAATATACAGCACAGAACAGCAGCAATGCTTACACTTTAAGTAGTGGTGCCCAACCTTCTGGCTGGACAAATAGTGCAGGGTCAGGGTCTATGCACCTGATCCAGTGCAGGGTTGGTGTGTGGGTTTGGTCTACAAGTGCCAACTAGTTACCAGCATGAGCCTACATGCCTGGATTTGGCCACACAGTGGCCTGACACCACATGATCAGTCCAATCGCAGAACAACCTTGTGTGCTTGCCCAGCTGGGCCAGCGTGATCTACCATGCAAGGCCACATTATCCAGCCTGCAAGGGTCCCAATGGGACCAGAAATCTGACATCAGCAAAGCAGCAATTAACACTGCCACCGCTCCCACACTGCCAACTTTCCAGACCTGTGAGGAATCCTCTGGGCCAAATGAGATGACTCCACGGATGGGATCTGGCCTGTGAGGCAGAGGTTGAGAGTCACCGCTTTAATACTTGAAAAAACAGATCAACTTTTAAAATCTTTCCTACTGTTTCAATTGAAACCAATAAAATAAAACATTCTATAATCCCCAACACTGCAATATAAAAGTAGAGAAAGATTGCCACAGTCCATGAAAACCCTTTATAAATAATAAAAAAATCAGAGCTCCATTATAACAAATTTTAGTTTTCAGTAGTTCTTATTTTCCTGAGATTTGGGAAACTAAGAATTTCATTTTTACACCAGGGGATTATATAGTGTTATTATAGCAGGCTGACCTGTTCCTCCAGTCCATGAAGATAATGTGTAGCCGCATCTCCTAAACAATCCCAACTTGTTTTATTTATTATTTCACAGTCCAAATGCCATGCAGTGATTTGTCAGTTTTAGAGTTATTTTTGGACTATAAAATCTATTTTTAGTGAAGTCGACAATATTTAATGTTGCTCTTGGGAGCAGAATTACGTAACACAGTAGAAATGGTAGTTCAATAATAAGGAAAGATGCATAATTAAAACTCAAGGCCCAGATTCTCTTCCTCCCTCTGCCAAAAGCACAAACTGGCTTCAGTTCTGTAGTAACTTCTACATACCTGAATGCACTCAATAGTTAAGAGGGTATGGTGAGGTAAAGGGGTAGAACTGGAAACAGTGTGGCTGCTTTGTACTGTGCTCCAGCAATCTTCAGCTGGTAGATAGTCCACCAGTGACTGTTACCAATTTGCAGTTTAGACCTGCTCTAAAGCTCTTCTAAACTCAGCTGGGGCTAACCAAATATTAATGGGTGTATAATCAGTTTTTCTGATGCCTAAATGCTTTTCTCTGCTATTATGAACAGAGCTCAATGACAGCAGTTTTTGACCCTTGGGTCAAAGGTTTATACTGTCAAAGAATTGTGCAAGAGAGAGCTGCAGTGAACCACAGCCTGCCCACTCTATGCACCCTGTAGCCCAGAACAGATGTACTATAGTCACCTAAAAGTACTAGGCCTCCATCAATAAGTACATCTGAGATGGCAAAACTACTGGCATGCACCCAATGTCACCTTCAGACAGCACGTGGTGCTTCACTGCACCTCTCCTTAGCCTTGTCTCAGAAGTGATACAGACTTCCCCCCCAAAATTTGTTCTCTTTTTTACGTGTATAGGTAATTCCTGCCCATATTAGCATGATCTCCATATGAATGCCCATCAAGATAAATTACAGACATCTTCATATGAAAGTCCACTCACATCAGGTATACTGGCTGTAGACAGTACCTTATAAACTTCTGCACTCCATTCAGTCATCATACTTTCATTGTCCTCTACAATGAAGCCCTGCTCTCTTGCAAAGGCCGCTGCACCATCCCCAACCAGGAAGCTGTGGGTATTTCTCTCCATGACTTCACGAGCTACAGCTAGTGGTGTTCCAACCCTTTTGCAAAAAAGGGAAGAATTATACTTTTATGGAATTTTTATGTACTGATTATTTTTTTCAACTCAGTGCAACAACAAAAAAAAGTGCCAAAAATATAGGAAGTTCAAAACAACAAGAAACCAATTAGATTCCAAGCATAGGAAGAGCATAATTTGTTAGTAATTATCTTTTTACTGGAACTTTTTTAAAACCTTAAAGCCTGAACAGGATATACGCAACCTAGACACCCAAATTAGTGCTGTACTGCATTTCCCCTAAATTTTCCTACTTCTAAGTTTTTCTTTGACAGACTTATCTGCTCTAGATCCTTTGACCATAAAAGCTGTTAGTTCCTTTTATATCATGTATTGTTCAACTAAGCCACCTATTAGTACGATTCAGCAAAAAATGCATTGTTTTTTTAACAGGGCTCAAGCACCCAATAAGTGTTAAGTTGCCGGAAGGACTGGATTTTTATGCAGTTACTTGGTTAAAATTAAGGACCCATTATTCTCTACTGATGGTGTAGCAGTGGAGACACTACTAAGCATAGAGAAAGCTCAGACCCTTTTTATTCTGGGTTGTCTAAACCTATTCTGCGTTTTTAATCACTGTAGCAATTCCTGACACTCCTTACTACTTGAATCATTTTTAACAAGAGCTGCACTCATTGTAAGTTACACATCCCTATTTTCCTATTACAGATGTTTTCATTATTTTTCTTCTCATATTTTAAATGAACTTGTGAATGTGAAGTCGGACTCCAACTGAATTAAACTGGTAAAAAAAAACCTTAAAATGTCATTCAGTTCAGAACACATTACCTTCCTGCATTATACCTGTCCTATAACAAAACATAAGTATCCCATAAGACCACTCAATAACCATCAGCAGTAGTTAGCACCAAATACAGCAATGGATTTTAATTGCTATGCTGTACTATACACCCGAGGTCCTCCTTAACAGTCCTATTTTCATTACAGAACTTGCATCCCTTTGACGTCTAACCTTACTTGCTGCATCAGATTTAACAAAATTAAATGGTTACTGGTGTATTAAGCCAGGTTTCAACATTACCCTCTTTACACAAAAATGTGTTCAATTACTGTGTTATGAATTAAAGCATGACTTGCTTCCTTAGTAGCCCAATTACTGCAAAACCCCCCATTTACTAAAGTCATGGGGGCAACGCTACTAAGATTGACAAAAGATAATTTGCGTATTCAAAGTGACCTACTTAATATACAGCACTTGCATTAGTTAATGCATTAGTCTTTTACATTAAGCACATGAGGTTTAAAATCTAGCTTACCTCAATCGGACCATACTTTGCCATCATAAAACAATCACTGAAAATTACTGGAAGCTTGCATGAAAATTAGTTGCAGGATATGACCCAATGGAAAATAAACGTGTGTAGCATTTTCATCCCCTTACCTCAAGCACTTTACAAATGTGGGATAAGTCTTTGTTTGTGGGATAAGTTTGTAGACAAGGAAATTGCCAGGTCAAATGACTCATCCAAGGTTGTGCACGTTAGTCAACCGCAGACCGGGCAATAGAGCCCAACTCTTGTGCCTATCAAACCAGTGTCCTATCTACAGGACCACAGTGTAAAACAAGTCAGATGATTTCAGTTTAGTTAATATTTCAGGCTTGATAGGAGGCTTCCACTGCAATTGCTTATTGTGCTTTATCCAGCAATGCAAATCCCTCACTTTTATGGACATAACACCTTTCCACATATTTATAAAAATATATGCATGTTGCTGCAGGTAGATTAAAGCACATTACATACCCAGACAGAGCTGCTACTGCTCCAAAATGACAAGGATGCCCTTCCATTACAGCAGCATCACACTGGATTAATCCATCTTTGTTTGGGTAGCCTCCTCGTCCTACTACATAACTCCCCGTCTCCTCATCATTTTCAATATCTGGAGACAAGTAAAGTTTAAAAATAGTCAAGTTAGACCCAAGTTTCCATTTTTTTTAAATCCAAGTGCTTCCCAAAATCCCATTAAGAAATTGAACAGTACAGAAGGGTCAAAACAAACACTATTTATGGGGGACTGACATACATATATGAAAGAGTGACCTACATCCCCCAGCCTGTACCCCATGCATACAGATAGGCACCCCCCATCCTGTTACAAGGGGGAGGTGGGCAACCCCACCCTATTATGCAGTGCCGTGCCTCACCAACAACTCCCTGTGGACTCCTCGGTGGCACTGTGCCACAACAGTGCTCTAGGCTGCTAGCTCCCTTGACACCACAGGTGGGTGGAGGGGAAGGTTAAGCTGGACTGCATCATGTCCTTCATACCCCCTGGAGATAGGTCAGGAAGTGGAAACTGGGGGAGGGAAGGGAAGCCCCAGGATCCCATCTGCTATAACAGGGGCAGCAATAACCTGGTGGAAGTCTGGGGCAGCACCGTACCTAGACTCATCGTGGCCCCGGGCAAACTCTTCATCAGCAATAACAACAACAGGAAAACGGGGAAAAATGACCATTTTGGGCCCCCTATCTGTCCAAGTCCTGGGAAGCCGCCCAGTTCGCCCACGCCTGTGTCCGGCCCTGGTCTGTGGGCTGCATGTGAACCCTTCCCAAACCATACGCAGCCCATGGACTGCCAGCTGGACAGCTCTGCCATAAACAAAGGAATTGTGCTCACGTGCCTTTGGCTACACTGAAGTAAAAAAACATTTGTTCTAACATTAGGCAGCACTAGCGATACAGGAATTATCTAAAAAAGCCGAACTGCATTTCTGTAGCTTTATTTCAGTTGATGGGAAATTTGGATACACAAGCAAAGCAGTTCTAGGCCTAAAAGACAGCAAACTTGATAAGATCTCTGTCTGTCTGTTGCTTTAAAAAAAGTAAACACGTCGTTTACTCAGAAGGGGACAGAAACTGGCAAGGGAAAGGGGCTGATGGGGGCTCCAGTCAATCTGGAAAAGTAACAACTGCCCCAAAATAGTACAGGGTACTTGACCACGTATTTTTTAACTCCATGGGGGCAGACACTTAAAGCCCTGGCACTTTTATATGCAATGTTTCTTAAGTTTGTGTTCACAGATGCAAGGTCATGGGACAAATGAACTATGCTGGGACCACATAGAGCAGGGGCTCTCACACTTCCCACACTAAGGTGACATTCAGAAAATGCCAGCTCTTCATTTTCAGTCACATTGCCACAGTGGCTGAGCCGAAGCCTTAGGAGAGCCCCTACACAACAGATATAAAACAGATTTAAAACCGCTGGCTTGAAATCTCTGGGTTTCTCTTAGGAATCAAGGGCAGTTCCAAAAGGGGGGGAGGAGGTATTACTGCATCTGTGCCCCCCACCCTTTTAACCCCTGCTCCACTCCAAGCTTAAAACCACCTGCTTAGCAGCAACATTTCTAGTCAAGTAGCGCTGAGGAAACCGCTCGCCTTCCCGGCGCTGTTCCCCTCCAAGCGCTTCACTCTCAGGACGTTCACGTCTGTCCGCGCCCGTGAAGCGCTCCTGCGCCCCGCCCATGAGGCGCGCCCGGCCCCTACCGCCGCGCCTGCGCCCTGCGCTCACGACTCCTTCCTTCCCAGGAGTGGGCGGCGCCCGGTTGGGCTTCCCTCTGACCCCGCAGGGCCCATCCCCCTCGAGTCCAGCTCCCGTTGTTTTTCAACTGGGGGAAAAACAAGCAACAACCAGGTGTTAACCCCTCAGCGCTGTTGCACTGGGCCTCCCCTCACCTGCCATGGCTTCCTGCACGCAGTCCGTGGCACCCGCGCCGCGCAGCAACAACGCCCGCATCTTGCTCAGGGCGGGCAGTGAGAAGGCCCAAGTGCCCGCGGCCGCCGCCATGGCAACATCTCGGGGAGGTGGGGGAGGGGGTGAACCTGCAGACCGGCAAAAAAAAAAAAAAAGTGGGGGCGGTG